GGTAGAGTGGTAAGAGAGTGGCGACGTCTGAAGTAGGCAGAGCTGATCGTGATGAAGTCCATGAAGTCGCCGATGACGTCCACGATGAGAAGTCCGGAGTGCCGTCGAGGAAGAGCCGCAGCGTCGACGAGCTGAAGTAGCAAGACTGATGTGGATGGAGTACTGAGWAGTCAAAGACGTGGGAAGGTAAGTCAGAGTCAATCGTCGTATCGAGCAGGACGACGACGAGTGCGCTGTGGACGCTCAGAAGCATTCGTCTGCTGCTGAAGGTCTGCCTCAGATGGAGCAGGCTCAACTTCAGCCGTCTCCTCAGCCGGAGGAGAAGGAGGAGGGTCAGTGGGCTGAGGAGGAGCAGTGAACCCAGCACGACGAGCACGGTCATAGGCACGCACCAACATGCGAGCGTGCTGCAAGTGCTCGAGGGGCTCCCAGGTAGCCTCCTCATTAGGGTAACCCTTCCAACGTACGAGATACTCGACGTGGGGAGAGTTGTCGTCGGTGACTCGGCGACCAATGATGTCTGAAACGAGGAACTCCTCGTGGCCGTCCACCATGATGGGTGGAGGGCGCTCGTATGGTAGTCCAGCGAAACGCTCAGACGGTCTGCGGTAAGGACGCAGTAACGAGACGTGGTAAACATCATGCACACGAGCCTGGCGTAGGTAGTCGGACAACTTTACACGAAAGCTGACCGGCTTAGATGTCGTATCAGAACCGACGGTCTGGAGGATGCGGCATGGGCCAAAGAAGCGATGCCGAAACTTGCGAAGCGTGTCCGCTTCGAGCTGTAAGTGGCGGGCGTCGATAAGCACATCATCACCGACCTTGAATGGGTGATCCATCCTCGATCGGTTCGCACTTGCTGCCATGCGAGTCTGGGAAGCGGCTATGTGCTCATGTGCGGTCTTCATAATCGATGTCATGTGTGCAACCCAATCATCCAGCGTGGGACAACTCGTGTCGGGGTGCATCTGGGACGGTCGAAGGAAGTCCGCGGGAACACGCGGGTGATAGCCGAGGTCGCAATAGTAAGGCGACATCCCCGTGGCTGGCGAGACGGCGTGGTTGTAGGCTATCTCCGCGTGGGCAAGATGGAGATCCCACTGCTGGTTGTCACGAACAATCTTTCGGAGAATATCCCCGAGAGTCTTGTTCGTGATCTCGGTCTGACCATCAGTCTGAGGATGGTAAGACGAGGAGAAGCGGAGCTGATTGCCGTACACCTCGTGGAGCCGTCGCCAGAATCGGCTGGTAAAGCGCGGGTCACGGTCAGATATGATGCTCAGAGGTAAGTCGTGGTCACGCACGACTCGGTCAAATACGATGTCGGCGACCTCACGTGCACTGATGGCATAGCGGCACGGAACAAAGCGTGCACGCTTCGTGAAGCGGTCGACGACGACCAGGATAGCATCATGACCGCGGGGGGTCGGAGGTCGAAGAGGACCGATAAAGTCCATCGAGATGGACTGCCAACGACCCTCAGGGATAGGAAGAGCCTGGAGCAAACCATAAGGTAGGTGGTTCGCACTGTTCACCTCCTAACAGGTGGGACACTGCGACGTAGTCCTTCACAAAGTCCTTGCGCTTCGGCCAGACGTACAGGCGGCTCACACGAGCCAACGTCGTGTGGAAGCCCATATGACCGGCAGCTGCCTGGTCATGGAACTCTGCAACTGCTCGGACACGTAGCTGTCCAGTGGAGGGAACACAAATACGGGACTCTCTGGTCCCCTGTGAACCGTGCCAGTACACAAGACCGTTGTCCCCGAGAGAGTAGTTCGGGACGGTCTTGCCACTCCGAAGGGTCGCGTGGATGTCGCGATAGTCCGGGCAGTGGCGGTACTAAGTGCGAAACTCGTCGATCACCGAGTGGTGGACGGTGGTGACCGAGATGGAAGAGAGTTGGATGTGCTTCTGGTCATGGTCAGGACGCTGGGATAGGGCATATGCGACCCGATTAGTCTCATCCTTGATGTGCTCAGTGGTGAAACTAAACTCGGATAGGTCGCGCCACCAGCGAGCCTGTCGAGGAGTGAGCTTCGGCTTTGTCAGAAAAGCCAGGACAACAGAGTTGTCCGTGCGCACCATGAATGGTGCCCCGTGCAGGTAGTGACGCCAGTGCCGAGCAGCATAAACTACTGCGAGAACCTCACGTTCATTAGCAGTGTAGTTTATCTCGGCGGGCAGGAGCTGACGGGAGTAGAAGGCTATCAGACAATCACCTGAGCGAGACTCGACAGTACCGTCCTCGGCGATGGTAGGAGAATAGTCTATAGAAGGCTCATCAGTAGCTGGACGAGTAGGCGTCAGTCGGGAAGCAGTGGTAGGGGTAGGTGGTGGGAAGCGAGGGATACGAGGATGAGAGGAATCAGGAGATGAGGGGAAGACCTGAGAAAGCACTGCTCCTACAGCGAAGTCTGACGCATCGATGGTAAGGATAAAAGGGCGGTCAAAATCGGGTAGGTGAAGAACCGGTGCGCCTGTCACCGCCTTCTTGAGGGCGGGGAAGGCGTCCTCGTGGAGGGGTGTCCAAGCCCAGGGTGAGTTCTTCCGGAGGAGAGTGGAGGTAAGGATGTAGGAATACCTAGCGTATCCCCGGATGAAGTTACTATAGTAGCTGGTCAGGCTTAGGAAGCTGCGAAGCTGCGTGGTGGATGTGGGAGCGGGCCACTCTGCAATAGCAGTGATCTTCGCGTCGTCCATGTGGAGACCCTGGTCAGACACGTAGTGTCCTAAGAAATCCACTTTGTGCTGGGCAAAGCGGCACTTGCTTAGCTTCGCGTAGAAGCCATGTCTGCGCAAGCGATCAAGGACGTCACGGAGGTGTCTGAGGTGCTCCTCAAGGGTACGACTATAGACCAGGATATCGTCGAGGTA